GGGTTTACGGCTTAAAGGGTTTAGGGTTTAGGGTGTTTAGGGTTTAGGGTTTAGAGTTTAGGGTTTAGGGTTTAGGGCAGAGCCTAGAACCCAGAGATTCCAATACCCCTTACATATGGGTAGTTCTCTAAATTAGGGTCCCTTTTTGGGTCCCCAATACAGTACGGCACCCTTATATAAAAGGACCCTAATTCAACAAAAATATAAGGAACGTAGAGGCTCCATATACAGTACCATTATGGAATTCGGTACCCAAAGCCATAATGAGGATGGTCTTTTGGGACCTCATTCCATGATGGTACTATATGTGGAGCCTCTGGGGAATATACCTTCAACTATAAGCGGCTTAATAGTAGGCATATCCTTTAATTAAGGGGTAGTGGGATCTCTGGGAATGTCACTCCTCTGACTCTGGGTTCATTTCGGGTTTTGTAGGATTCTTCGGCGGTTTACTAGCGAATTTAGAGGGTCGAGGTGCCCATATAGTTACAAAGCCGGAACTGCTTCAGGGCTCAGGAACATGTTGCAGAGGTACGTGCTATCCTGCTTACATGTGAATAAAACTATTGTAATAGGGGCCTTAATGAATAAAACGGGTTTTGGTATATATTATACTGTAATTATAACAAGTAACCAAGGAATTCTGAACCCCAAGGGTCCATGCACCCACATAGTATATGCCTTGGCCCCAAAGTACCATATCGCGACTACTTTAAGGTCAAAGTATATACTGCTTGGGTACACGGACCCTGAGGGGAAGGCTCGTACATTATGCGTCGGGCTCCATGGGCTTGGGCGGTGACTTTCGGATCTTCGGCCGAGGCGCGGGACTTCCAGCGCAAGCTGAAGCGGCTCTCGGGTGCATCAGCTTGCCTGGGCTCCCCCAAAGAGTCCGGTTTAGGGGTTTTGGTTTAGGGGTTTAGGGCTTTAGGGCTTTAGGGCTTTAGGGTTTAGGGTTTAGGTGGTTTAGGGGTTTAGGGAATCACACCTTACATACAAAAAGGAATCATCGTAATCAAGCTGGGAATTAACAGGACCCCTAACCCTAAACCCTAAACCTAACATGGATCCCTTTTTGGTATTGGGTAACTTTCGAAAGAAGCCTTAACCACAAACACGGAAAACATGGGGCCAACTGGAAGACCTAGTAAAGCCTAAATCTCATGGCTCGGTTAACCAGCCACTAACTACTGAGAGGCACTCGACCCCAGAAGGATCGTTTTCGTCTATGCCATGGAAGGACCTGAATACCCTAAACCCTACGCCCTATATTCTACACTCTATCCCGCTCGTCGTTAAAAGCCGAAAGATCCTAAACCCTAAACCCTTTATCATAAAAAGACCTAAGGATCCCAAACCCTCAACCCTAAACCCTAAACCCTATATCCTAGACCGATTCAACAAAACGCCTACGTATCCGCAAATATAGGGGCCTTCAAAATTAGAACAGGGCTTTGGGGCATGGTATACAAAAAGTACAAATACGGAGCCCCCCAAACTAGTGCAAGGCGCTGCTCTTCGCTCTGCTCCTCGGGTTTCTTCGGCTCGCCTTCGGCTTCTCGCGGCTCCTGGTTTCCGGGCTTCGGCTTTTTGTCGAAGTTAGGGTCCCTTTTAGGGTTTAGGATTTGTCAAAGTTAGGGTCACTTTTGGGGCTCCTTTTGAAGGGATCTACAAGGGCTTCTATAGAGTTCGTTAAAAGGGTATTTTAGGGTTCCTTATAAAGGGATCTATAGGGGTCTCTATAGGGTTTCTATAAGGGTACCATAAGGCTGAGGATTTGACTAAATTAGGGTCCCTTTTAGGGTTCCTTAAAAAGGGATCTATACGGGCTTCTCTAGGGTTCCTTAAAAGGGTGTTCTAAATGATCTATAAGGGTCTCGATAGGGTTTCTGTAAGGGTACCATAAGGCTCAGGATTCTAAATTAGGGTCCCTTGTAGAGTTCCTTATGAGGGGATCACGGGTTTCTATAGGGTTCCTTGAAGGGTTTTTTAAAGGGTTTCTGTTTATTTAAGTGTTCTGGGTTCCAGGCTTAGGATTTGTTGCTAAGCGTCTCCTTTAAAAGGTTTCTGTAGGGTTGCTCGTAAAGGGATCTATAAGGGTCTCTGTTGGGTGTCTACAAAGGTATTTTCCTAAGGGTCCGAAGGACCCAATAACTAGGTGCTTTGGTTACGGATAGTAGTTATCCGGAAATAAATCTGGGTGAGTATATGATTGTTAGGTACTTGGACCTTTAGGCTAAAAGTGTCTATAAGGGTAGCCCTAAACCCCTAAACCCTAAACTGTGAGTCTTTCGCCCTAAAAGGGTTCTATAGCTGGACTTTGAAATAACCAGTCAGAAAAAAGTATAGACTTTTATTCCATAATGGTTCCTTTAAGGAACAGGTCCCCCAACAAAGCCCAAATAAGGGTTTCTGCAAGACTTGCAGGGCTCCTTCGGTTCAGGGCTTGCTTGGAAGTTCCTGGGTCCTCCCAGAGACTCCAAACCTCTCAATTGAGGAATATACCTTAACTCTTGTTAGGGATCCAGTTTTAATTTAAGGTATATTCCTCAATTACGGGGTTTTGGTGTCTCTGGGGTACCTTAAACCCTAAACCCTAAACCCCCTAAACCGTAAACCATCCGAAACCCTAAACCAGGTCTGGCTAAACCCCACTTGCTAAGTCCACTTCTACTCTATGTACTCTGGAGGCCTTCCTAGGGCTATACTTCCCCAATAAGCCAGGGAAATAAAAGGTTAAACTTTCACAATACTACTACATTATAAGAACCAGAAAAGTTTAAAGGTTGGGTGTTGGAGAACTAAGAGGGTTCCTTCCAGGTTCCCGTAAAGGGTTGCTGCAAGGGTTCTAGGGCTTTTCGGAGTGCAGGGGCCTGAAAGGGCTCCTGCAAAGGGTTACTTACTTTAAGGAGGGTTTAGGGTTTAGGGGTTTAGGGTTTCGGGTTTTCAGGGTTCCTATAAGGGCTCTAGATGGGGGATAGTAGAAGTGTTTAGACGGCTCGGTATGGGTCTGTGTACGGGGTACTATAGGTGTTGGGAGGATTGTGCAAGGGTTTCAATAGGGGCTGCGACAAAGCTTTAATCTATGGGTTACCGCTTCAGTTTAAGGCTTCAGGAGTGGGGCTTTCAAGCTTCGGGCTTGTGCTTTAGGCTTAAGGCTTCAGGGCTCAGCCTCAAACCCAAACAACGCCGTGAACAAAATTAACCCCATAATACCATTTATAGCTTATCTTGGCTGACTCCTGAACCCCACCTAAAAGTTGAACTTTAAGCCTTATCGTTCATTCAGAAACCCAAATTAAGAGCCAACCAGAAGAATGCCAAGCTATCTCACGGCAAGGGATCGGAGGCGCCACTTGTTTGTGTAGGACGGCAGTCGCACCGTATCATCGTCCAAGCCTTTCTTGCCGTTGTCCAAGGCATCGTAGCTGCCGAGCATTATGCTCCGGTGGATGTGCTCGAATCCCCGCGGGTGCGTCTCAAACCACTGTAAGCACTGCTCGATCATCATGCCGTGGTTGCTGCGCTCGCTGAGAAGCACCTCCTGCCGCTCCCTCCTCAAAGTCTCGTTTTGCTTGTCCTGCGGCTCCTGCTTGTTGCCCGCCGGGTCTGCAGCACGCTTATAGCTTTTCCGGCTTTCTCAGCAGCACCCACGGCGCTGGACGCAAGGAAGGCGAGGGAAGATGAAGTTGAAGGCTAAAGTGCAAGGCGACCCGCGATGTCGATCTGCCATGGCCACGGCCGAATGAGACAGAGGTGCTGCAAAACATGACAAAACCCACGCAGGCGGCACGAAAGTTGAAGCAGTGCAATTTCGTGGCAGCATGCAGTCACCAAACCACCATGAGGCCCTTGAGAGATCAGGGAACTTAGTAATTAAGTCAGTTCCATGTAGACTTATAGACCAACCTTGAGTCTACGCATGGACCACTTACTAGGTCGCATGACCCTCCTAGTATACCCAAAGGCGCCAAAACCCCAACCGCAAATCCGACACCCGCAACTCTTCAACCTTACGTGCCTTACGTTTACTGTATTCTGCAGCCTAAGTCCCCTGACCCTCCATCCCTAAACCCTGAACCCTGGCACATTAGGATTTCACCAGAGCTGCGGCAGCCTCCACGGCTGCCGTTTTCGGCTGCTCCGCCATGTCTCCAAACTCGCTTCCTGCTTGTTTGTTATTTCTCAAAGGGTCCTAAGTAACCGTATGGCGATACTAGAAAAAGCGGGTTTCAGGTTTAAAGGTTCCTGTATTGGGGATAGTAACCGAAACCATAATGGTAATTCCTACCGTAGAAACACTTTTTACTATGAGCCCTGAAAAGAACCGTAATCAAACCCTGACTTCAAGGAAGCCGCAGAGGAACCCAAAACCCTTAAAGGACCAATCTCAGGGTTGCTGTTTGTTTTTAAAAGGGACGAGGGGGTGGCAGTGGGGGAGGTTTATGTAGGGGTCTAAAGAATCACCAATACTATTTTGGGGGTGCCGTATTCTCAATATAGTATATGGTCCCAAAACCCTATTCTACTGATTAAGGCCTTTATGTTAGGGCCGTTTGGGATTTTGGTTGGCTCTCAGAAGCTTTTCGGATTTCAGGTCTGCCGGGGGTTGCAAGTCTTGGGGTTTATAGTCTTTAACCCTTTATAACTCTTTAAACCCTATAAAACCAATAAGCCCTACACCCAAAGCCCTAAAAGCCCTAAAAGCCCTATAAACCCTGGAAAACCTATAAGCCCTAAACCCTAAATCCAGGGCTTTAGGGTTTTGTTGTTTCAGTCTTCAGAGCTTTGGAGAGGTTGGGGCTTTGGTTTTGGAGGCTCTGGAGTGTAAGGGGGTTGTAGGGTTTAGGGTTTAGGGTTTAGGGTTGTAGGTGCGCATGGGGTTTGTTCAAGTTTTTGAACGGTTTAAATTAGGGTTTAGGGCTTAGGATTTAGAATTAGGTTCAGGGTTTTGGAGGCTTTTTCAGTGTACGGGGTGTGCGTGTGTAATGTAGGGGCCTTTATGACTAGAATAGGGTTTAGCCAAGCTGGTTAAAGAACAGCGCTGCGCTTTCCCTTATTATAGGTAGCGTAGCCATAGATATATCGATGTTATATCCACGTAGAACCCTAATTAAGATACTTATAACTCTATCTACTCAGTGTTCGAACCTAGTTCAAATAGAAACCCCAAAAGTTAAAGTCCTAAGGGCCAACCAGAAGAACGCCAAGTAAGCATGTCTGCACTTTCACCTGTGCAAACCCCGTCCTGAGCTTGTGAAGCTGTCAGGGACACCTGAGCAGGCTGGGATGAAAGTAGAAGTTAAGTCTCTCAGGGTTTGGGGCATAGGCATACCCGAACCCACCAGAACCTGCTTCTTTGTAATTAGGGTCCTTATGAACCCCATATAAGGGCTTATGATAAGAACCTACCAAGAAGTGGGTTCTGGTCGGTTAAGGTAAGGTTTGGGTCTAGAGTTTAAGGTTTAGGGTTAGGGATGAGGGGTCAGTAAGGGCTTTGGACTTATTATATGCGTGAGGACGGCTGATAAGGGGTACGGAATCTCACACACCAACTCTTTTCAGGCCGCTGAAAGCAGACATCATTTGGATAGTTCTCTAAATCAGGGTCTTGTTTGGGGTCCTTTTTGCAAGGGTGCCGTACACAGCTGGCCGTACACATGTGCGGTACTATATTGGGGAATTCGAAAGGGACCCTAATTATCCCTAATTTAAGAACTACCCTTCGAGTACCCCAAAAGAGAAGAAACCCTTATAGATCCCGTTACGGAACCCCAAAAGGGACCCTAATTTAGAGAACTACCCTTAGAGTACTCCTATAGAAACCCTTATAGATCCCATTAGAGATCCCTTTAATGAACCCTACAAAAAGGGACCCTAATTTAGAGAGAACTACCCAATTTGGCCAGGGCGCGAAGAACGGACAAGGGCGGCAAGGTCGCCTGTGCGGTCAGGTCTTCGAGCCTAAGCCCTTAAGGGTTTTTAGGGTTTAAGGTTTAGGGTTTATAACAGGGTTTAGGGTTAAGGGTTTAGGGTTTAGAGTTTAGGGTCCAAAGGACCCAGTAATTAGGGTTTAGTAGGCCTTAGTAGAGATTTTTGTAGGGTTTAGTAGGTAGGGTTTTGGTGTAGACCCAATAATAAGGTACTTTTGTTGCGGATAGTAGTGATCCAGGTTACTATTCGGGAGCGTACATGATTGTCATAGGCAATTGGACCGATTGGACCCTTTTGGAAAGCGCGCGATGCTAACGCATTCGGGTTTAGTATAGGGTTCACGATTTAGGGGTTGATGGTTTAGGGCACATGCGATGAACGCCAAACTGGATTGTTTCGGACCCTAGCATCATGGCCGAGGAAGCACACACTTTCAACACTTGGGGGTTTCCGAAAATAGGGGACCCTAATATAGTACCCTAAATAGTAGGATCCCTATTATAAGGACCCCCCAAATAAGGGGTTTAGGGTTTAGGGTTTAGGGTTTAACCCCCCGCGTGGCAGACCGCAAGATTCGGGCGAAAGAAGTCAGAGAGGCGCCTCTTGCACATCATGCAAGCTGCCAATCAAGAACAACGGGATCCCCAATCTCAGGACACCGACACCTGATTACCTTTACTAATTCATGGACCTCTGAATGTCGAACTACCCAGATTCTAAGGAGACGGGAATGCGTTGCCAAAATCCTCAAGTTGGCCTTCAAACCTTAATAGAAGGTCAAGATTGGTATTTATGAAGTTTGAAGTATTGGGTCTGCCAGGGTAGACGACGTTGTTCAGGGCTAGCGGTGGGACAACCTTAACACAGCCGTCATGGTGCTTAGGTAGTGGTGAATTATCAAGCTACCCAAGCTCCTGAATAATCATAAATAAACTTGCAACACTGATATCATAAACCGAGGTACCCAATAAATTGGTCCTCTGGACCCTTGGGGGAACAGCCAGGTCCCTGCCTCAACTTTCCCCTCGCAGCTTCGCAGGAGGTTGCGAGCAGCCGATGTCTTCGCAACATCCTGAACTAAGGGCTTTAGGGTTCAGGGTTTAGGGCTGGGGCAAACATAATAAGGAATTTGGACAAAAAAATAGTACTAGTCATTATTCAGGCTTCTGTACTGATCCAAACTCAGAACCCTGAGCCCCCTAAACTCCGAAACCGAAGCCCTAAACTCTAAACCCAATTAACCACTGTAAGCCCTAAACCCTAAACTCAAATCTCAGGCCGCCCAAGCCCCAACTCCCCTTGAACCCTGAACCCTAAACCCTAAACCCTAACCACCTGCCGTGCCCAGGGCTGCTCTCCCTCTGCCCTTGCCCTGGTCAGGTCTGGCCTGGCCTTGCCTGCCCTGTACTGAATTAAGGTTTATAGGGTTTAGGGTTGAGCGTTGAGGGTTTAGGGTTGAGGGTTTAGGGTTTAGGCTTTCCCGTTTAAAGGGCTCCTTTGAAGGGTTCCCTTAAGGGCTCCCTTAAGGGTTCCTTTAAGCGTTCCTTTGGGGTTCCTTTAAAGGGCTCTCTTTTAAGGATCTAGGGATTAGGAGGGTTTGGAGTTTAGGATCTAGGGAATAGTCGGGATTAGGGTTTAGGGATTAGGGGCTTTAGGGTTTAGGGTTTAGGGTTTCGGGTTTAGGGTTTAGGGTTTAGGGATTAGGGTTTAGGGTTAGGGTTTAGGGATTAGGGGCTTTAGGGGTCCTCACTATGACTTCTGTATATAAGTCCCCAAAAGGGTTTAGGTTATTCGGCGGGTAAGGTTGGTGTTCTTTGGAGTTCAGGCTTTAGGCAACGTGTTGGGTTTTAGGGTTTCGGGTTTGAGGTTGTTTAGAGTCTAGGGTTCGGGATTTACGCAAAGTCTTGGGTTTAGGGTTTCAGGTTTGAGGGCTCAGGGTCGAGAGTTCAAAACCCAGACTCCCCGAAAAATCCAAAACCTAGGTGCCTTAGTGGGGATTCCTACAATACTGCTGATGGACAAAATTCTGCATGACCCAAATATAGTATAGTACAATAAATCCCATAGTTTAGGTATATAAGGTCATGCAGGATATTGTCCATCAACCGTAAAGAGCCGTTAGTAGTATAGGGTCCCAAATTAGGGGATTCTACTTTCTGGATCCTCCCAGGGGTCTATGAAGGCTTCAGAATTAGGGTTGCAGGTTTGAGGTTAGGGCCTTGTACGACGCTTAGGCAAGAAGCCTGGACTCTGAGAGAAGTGCTTAGGGTTTGGGCCTAGGATTTTGCTTCAATTTACCTAACCTCGGGTGGGTGTAGACTAGATCCCTAGAAGTGCTTAGGGTTTGGGCCTAGGATTTTGCTTCAATTTACCTAACCTCGGGTGGGTGTAGACTAGATCCCTAAACCCTAAAGCCTAAACTAAAACCCTAAACCCTAAAGGCCTAAAGGGCTTGGTTTCGGCTGGATGCCTCAATTTGTGTGGGGGGTGCCGAGCCGGGCAGGGGCGCCGACGCCGACGGTTTTAGGGTTTAGGGTTTAGGGCCCTGGTTCGCGTCCTCCGGCCGAAACCATAAGGTTGCAAGCAGATTGGTTTAGGGTTTACGGGGCTTAGGGTTTAGGGTTTCGGGATTGCATTAGAGCTTTACCCAGACCACCGGAAGGATCCAAAAAAGTAGATGCCTGTATAGGGGGTTCCTGTACAGTACGCTTTAGTAGCCGGGGTCCCAAATTAGGGGGTCCCCTCCTTTTTAGATCCTTCCGGTGGTCTGGGTAGAGCTTAAGGTCTTAATCTTTTAGTTTGATAACTTTGTTTTTTGTTCCTTAAGGGCTTGCGCCTTGCAGCACTTGGTGCCCCAGGGCGAACTGAAAAGCCGGAATCATGGCTGGCGGATGCTACAATATATATAATCGTAGTAGTATGTAACGAGGTTAGACAACTGCATGAACAAGAATATCAATAACAGCAATAGATAGCAATAGTGTGTGTGTGTGTGTGTCTGTTTTTTGCGTGTGTGTGTGTGTGTGTTGCTGGTGCTCTTCTTGCTTCTGTATGTAGGGCTCAAGGTATTTATGAGGAGTAAGGGTCAAGTTTACGACTTTGTTTTGTAGTGCTTGGTTCTATATGCTCTTATCGTAATATATTATACTGATTATACTATACTATACTATACCATACCATACTATACGATGTACGATATGATGTATAATAATACATCGGGTCTAAAGTTGGTGTGATTAGGGGCTGGTGTCTGCGGGCATCGCAACCTGAGTTCTGGAAGTGCAGTGATGCTCCTAACGTGGTACCGCCGAAACCCTAAACCCTAAACCCCTGATTGCGTCTTCAGTTTGCCATTGAACTCTCTTCTTCAACAACCAGGTCCAAAAAAGTTCAAACTTTTTGAGACAGACCTCAAATATAAGGCCAAGAAGTTTAAAGTTCTCCCGTTGGCTATCTAAGTGAAAGCTGCCCAACTACCCTGGCGGCTTGAGCCGTGGAGCGCGGAGAGCACAGAGCCCAGCAGGTAGGGTTTAGGGATTAATTAGGGTTTACTTAAAGTTAAATTGGCTAACCCCCAAAAATAAAAAGGAGGAACAACAATGGAGACTTTACGTAGTTGTTGAATCGGCTTAGAGCTGAAAGGCCTGAGGCTTGGGTTTTGGAGGGTTTTGCTGAAAGGATCATGGGACTTAGTAAGTAGGGTTATAAATAAGGCAACTGCACTTGTGACCCCGATTAGGGTACTTATAACTGTACTTACTAAGTCCCATGAACCTCCGAATAGACCCTAAACCCTAAACCCCTAAACCCAACCTAACCCGTAAACCCCTAAACCCTAAACCCTAAACTTTGCCTAAGCTATAAGCCCTGTAAGATTTAAGCCCTCGACCTCCCCAAGGCCCCTTAACAGCTTGGAGGTCTAAAGGCTTTTGTTTTGGGTTTAGGGTTTAGAGGTTTAGGGTTTAGGGTTTAGGGCTTAGGGTTTAGGGTGTAGGTTTTAGGGTTTAGAGGTTTAGGGTCTTATATAGGGCTTAGGGTTTAGAGTTTCAGGGTTTTAATTAGGGTCGACAGTGTCTTAATACATGTGTTTTTTGGGACACATTATATGGGGGTTTCCAAAAATAGGGGACCCTAATATAGCACCCTAAATAGCAGTATCCTCATTATAAGGACCCCCCAAATAAGGTACCCCTAATTTTCGGAAACTCCCATATGTCTCAGCAAGGCAGGCCTCCCTAGGGCTCGCTAGTACCCACCCCGGCTCCAGGATCTAGAGGATGGGGTATCCTACAAAATAACATAGCTGCCCACTATCCTGGCCCCAAAAAAGCTTAAACTTTTCTTTGCGTAGGGGTTTAATATACCAAATATACCAAATAAGTTTAAAGTTTACCTACTGGGCTCCTAAGATTATGGGTAAAGGTAGGGCCTTGTTCAAGGGTTCTGGTGTTGAGGCCCTTTATACGTACATGGACCCTTGGGGTGAGATAGCCGTACCCAGCCCCGCGAAAGGATCTAGAAAGTAGATCCCTTAAGGGGAGGTCCTATAAAATGCCCTTTAGTAGTATAGGGTCCCAAATTGGGGGTTCTACTTTCTAGATCCTCCAGGGGGTCTGGGTTGTAGGTACATTCACCCTTGGGGTGAGATAGCCGTAGCTCATACTCCTTGCAGCATCTGCCTCGCACATTCCTAGTAGCTCATATGGGTAGCCGTCAAAATCAGGATCTCTTTTAATACGGTTTAGGGTTTAGGGTTTAGGGTTTAGGGTTTAGGGTTTAGGTTTTAGGGTTTAGGGTTTATGGTTGGGAGTACGCAGAAGTGCGAAGAGTTGAGGATTTGTAGCTGGGGTAACCCTACACAAGCTAGCCAGGTCCCTTAGAGAATCTACACATGACACCAACCAAGAACACTCTATGGGCTTAAGATCCAGGCCTTTGGAGGGATTTTGGTCTCTGGTTCAAGATTTAAGGTGTTGTGCATCTGTACTTCATTCCAAAGGGTTATGATGTCACCCTTGCATGCTTAAAGGTCCATGGGACTTAGTAACTACGGTTATAAGTAAGGTAACTATACTTATAACTACTTATAACCCCAAGTAAGGCACTTATAACTGTACTTACTAAGTCGCATGAACCTCCAAGTAGACCCTAAACCCTAAACCCCTTAAGGGGACCCTAAGGGAAAAACCCCTAAACCCATGAACCCCTGAAACCCTAAACCCCAAGGGGTTGTGATGGCACCCTTGCATGGAAATGAGGCTTGGGCTTGGGCATCTTCGGGAGTTGGTACTAAACCCTCAACCCTAGGCCCTTGATGTGGGGGTTTCCGAAAATAAGGGGTACCATACTTTGGTAATAAGGATCCTACTATTTAGGGTACTATATTAGGGCCCCCTATTTTCGGGAAACCCCCATGTTCCTCTGTCCATGAGCTCAGATTTGGGGTTTAAACGGGCTTCGTGCAAGAGCAACAAGCCTTAATTCTCGTGATGTCCTACCTAAATCGGAGGCCTCAAAAGGTGGGATATTCCCAGATAATGGTCCTAACAAAAAACTTACTTCTCCAATAAGTCAGGGAAATAAAAGGTTAAACTTTCAGGTTACTACTAAATTATAAGAACCCAAAAAGTTTAAAGGTTGGGTATTGGGGAACTAAGAAAAGGGGTCTTTAATCCTGCCTACCTTCATCCCACCTCTTGCGTGAGGCCGCCGACTAAACACATCAGTGCCTGATTCTCTCGACCAGAAACCCTAGACAGCCCAAAATTAATTAAGGTCCCCACTTGGAGGTTCATGGGACTTAATAAGTACAGCTGTAAGTACCTCAGTTAGGGTTCTACGCAATTATGAGTATAGTTGCCTTGTTTATACCCCTAGTTACTAACTCCCATGAACCTTTAAGTACACTAAACCCTACACCTTAACTTTTAAACCCGAACCCCTAAACCCCTAAAACCTAAACCCGAACCCCTAAACC